AAAAAGTATGGGATTATGGAAGGCCCTGAAAAACAAGTCTGGACTGTCTTCTTACAAAACAGACATCTCCTTGCACAGTGTTTGTGCTGAGAGCCGGGATCACATCGTTCAGACTTGCAATGGACTGGGTGCTCCGAAGAAGGCGGCACCACCACACCCAAACATTACCTCAAGGGTGTTTTCTTTCCCTTCAGATCTGGGTCTACAGGGTGATGTTAGGTTCTAGTACACTTGGAGCTTTGTGATTTGTCAAAGATTAAGAACCAAGTGAGCCACACTGATGAAAAGTCCACAGGTTCTGAATCCATTATTGTAGTCAAGTTAGTTTCTCCAAGAGGAGGATATCATGACAAGTACAATAATAATTATTACTTAGTATTTACTAAGAACTTAGCCTAAGCCACTCTACCGACCACTTTACATCTATAATCTCATTTAATACACACAAAAGAAAATTAAGATATATATTAAGATCCATCACCCAGTTACAGGTAAGAAAACAGAGGCTTTTGAAAATCAAAATCGAATAGCTCATGCAGAGTCACATGGTTATGAGAAGTGAAAATTGAATTTTAAAACAACCACTGGGATCTGGAAAGCCTGCATTCTTGACCACTACCCATCATGGCCTCCCACCTTCCCAATATAATCTATCAACACAGCATCACAAACTTGTGCCAAAACAAGAGCATTTATGGATGCTGCTTACTAGAACTTCTGTGACGGTCTTCTGTGTGGAAGTAAGTTCTCACCTGAAGTAAAATCCTGCCACCTTGACTATAAGTTCAAGACAGACTTCACACAACTAGACCGTTACTGAGTATGTTCTCACTGTACTTGAAAATATCAACAAATCCATACACCAGGGATTTAAATTCACAGTATAGATATTAAAGCCTATCTTCAATGGGAACTTCCTCTCTCCTTATATGCTTGCTTATTGGTGTACAACCATCCTCAGAATTCTAGTTTGAAGAACTGGAGGCAGGATTGTATATGTATTACAGACTCCGCTTTAAGTGCATCTGGATAGCTCAAGTTACTCTTGATTTTGGCTCTGGTCATGATCTCAGGGTCATGAGATGGAGCCCCACGTGGGGCTTTATGCTCAGCGGGGAGTTGGCTTCTCTCCCTCTCCTTTTGCTTCTCCCCACTGCTTGTGCACTGGTGCTTTCTCTCACACTTATCTAAAACAAATAAATCTTAAAAAAACAACAACAACACAAGGACCCCACTTTAGAACACACAGATTCTTTTTTTGTTTTCATTACCATTTGGTAGAGGGGATTTGATTTCACTTTTCGCCATTGAGGTTTATCTTTTTAAGGTGTTTAGCTTTGAAAATGGCAGGTTCTTTTTATTTTGGTCACTTCTTATAAAATAGTTTCAGGGAATATTTTGTGGCACAGATGCCCTAAAACCATGGACATAAAGGAAAATTATAAGTATTATATATAAAAGGACATGAACCAATCAGATGGAAGCTTAAACTAAATATATAATACTTTAAGACTATGGAGACATGGCATCAGGAAAATACAAATCAAAACCATAACAAGATATTGCCTCACACTAGTCAGAATGGTTAAAATCAACAAGTCAGGAAACAAATGTTGGTGAGGATGTAGAGAAAGGGGAACCCTCTTACACTACTGGTGGTAAAGTCACCCTAATGACCCAGTAATTGCACTACTAGGGATTTATCCAAAAGTGATCCAAAGGGGCACCCACACCTCAACGTTAGAAGTAGCAATGTCCACAATAGCCAAACTATGGAAAGAGCCCAGATGTCAATCGACAGATGAATGGATAAAGAAGATGTATACACACACACACACACACACACACACACACAAAACGGACTATTACTCAGCCATAAAAAAATGAAATCTTACCATTTGCAAAAACATGGATGAAACTATAGGTATTATGCTAAATGAAATAAGTCAATCAGATAAAGACAATTATATGATTTCATTCATGTGGAATTTAAGAAATGAAACAGAAGATCATAGAGAATGGGAGAGAAATAAAATAAAATGAAATCAGAGAGGGAGACAAACCATAGAGACTCTTAACTCTAGGAAACAAACTGAGGATTTATGGAGGTGAGGTGGGTGGGGGGAAGGGATAATTGGGCGGTGGACATTAAGGAGGGCACGTGATGAAATGAACACTGGATGTTATATACAACTGATGAAAATCACTGAACTCTACCTCTGAAACTAATAAGACACTATATGTTAATTAATTGATTTTAAATAAAATTTTAAAATTAAAAAAAAAAAAAGACTCTGGAGACAGAATTAGCTAAGTAAAGATACACTGAATCCAGACTCTAGATTGGCTTGAAACAACAACATTATAGAAGGTTTACCATAAAACTTCCTTAGAAATGAGCTATCCCAGTACCCTCGCTTCCAGGTGAGGAAACACAGGCCCGTTGTACTAAGGTGCCTCATCTGGGATGTCACAGGTAGTCAGGAGCTGATGCAGGGCCACAGTGTATAATCCTTTCTCAGGCTTGTCACTCATCCTTACCACCTGCATTTTTTTGGTTCTTACATAGTTTTATCCCTGATCTTTCCTCACTTTCTTCACCCAGTCATTTTTTGTTTTAATTTAAAAAAGCACTTGGCCCCATTCAGCAAGAGATCCATTCTCAACCTCCACCTCTGCCACTAATGCCCTGTGGACAAATCATTTACCACAGTGCTGGCCCCTTGCTATAACTTTGCTCATGTATCTCTCCTTCTCTCCCCCTCTTTCCTACTCCCCCCACCTCTTTCACTCTCTTCTCCTTCTTTCTCTCCCATTGACCCCAAAACAAAAGCAATTACTATACCCTGGAGCCCAGGCAGCATCAACAGGGACAACAGACTGAATTTTACAATCTGGGAAGGCCTTGTATCTCAACAAGTTACTTTTTTAAGGACCTGGAAGCTACCAGCAAGTGATGTAACATGTTCTCTTGATAATAAGCCAAAGACAAGATTACATATTGGTCTTTCTCATGGACATTCAGCCAGAAGTCAAACGTTACCTTCCGCCTTTACTATGGTGAAGTAAAATATTTGTGTCAGATGGTTCCAGTGTATTTCATCACCCTAGTTTTTCTCTTGATAGGAACTCTTCTGTCAGAACAGATCAATGGTATTCATCAACCGATGTTAGGGTTTTGAGTAGCCAGCACTACATGCTCTTCTAGAAGCTTCCTTGCCTTCTTCACACACTGAGGGGAGCAGAGAGGACTTCTCTGCAAACACTAGTGAGGAGGAAAGCAGTTTTTGTGCCTTCTACAGACATCAGAAATCTTCTTGTACTGTCTCACACCATGTCCCTAACTGCCACTGGAGATGGCACACAGAGAGGGGCCAACTGGCAACTCACCTGCTGGCTGGCTCTCTGAGACAAGTTCAGCTCATTAAATCAAAGTTAATAGCTGAGCCAAGATAATCCTGACCCTGTGTTGGAAAAGGCTGAAACCCTGCCACTGAAGGGAGGTGACAGGGAACATGGAGAGGTAGCTCTGGGTGCAGAGTTTCTGGCTGAGCAGCTGCATCTTTTGTTCAATAGCTACATCTTCCTGGATCATGTTATGGTTGAATTCTGTCCATCTGAAAATCATATGTTGAAATCCTAACCCCAAATACCTCAGAAAGTGACCTTATTTGGAAATAGGGTTGTTGCAGATGTTATTAGTTCAGATGAGGTCATCCTGGAGTGGGGTAGGCCCTAATCCAAAATGACTGGTGTCCTTATAAGAAGACACAGCTTCACAGAGAGAACACCATGTGAACATGAAGGCAGAGCTCAAGGAGATGCTTCTACAAGCCAATGGATGTCAGTGATTGCCAAGAACCACCAGAAGCTAGGAGAGAGTCATGGAACAGATTCGCCTTCACAGTCCTCTGATGTAACCAGCCCTGCCAACACCTTGATCTCAACTGCAAGCCTCCAAAACAGACAATAAATTTCATCTCACCCAGTCTGTGATAGTTATTATGGTAACCCTAGAGAAACTACTATAGACCATACTTCCAAAGTTGTGAGAAACTTAATGTGTAAAGCTCTGACGATCTATATATCTCAGTAACAAGTTACTAGACTAGAAGAAAGTGTGTATAATACATCATAGTTAGTATTTCTTCTTATTGTTCATCTACTTCCACTCGACACATACAAACCATCATTTGAAGGTCTCAAAATAAACCTAAACAACAAACAAAAAACCTAACTCATTAATGAAACTTAGAACTTTCTGCACAATTCTTTCCAAAGGAAAGTAGCATCCCCAAAGTGGACTCAAGATCAGCTAAGGACCTCCCATAATTCAGTTGGTATACCAGAGATGTATATTCTTCTCTTCCTTACACGTTCTACTGTGTGGCTGCTCTGTGCCAAGCACTCTGATAGGCACTTGAGACCTAATAGTCTCAACAGCAAAACAGGTAGCTGCTGTCTTCGCAGTGGTCCATGTCCAGTGAGGAAGATAGATTTTGGTCAAATAGTCACTCAGATATCTAGAACTATTAACTGACAGGGGCAGCAATGCGGAAGTATTGCCACACTCTGTAGGCAGCTGCTTTCCCTATGGACCTGTGGACACGCAGGGATTCCTACTCTGCATTATATTCAAAGGCTGCAGTACTATGAGTTTTCTCCCGTCCAAAGAGAATGCTGAACTTTACATTCAGGGAACCAAACCACCTGCCAAAAATATAATCATCTTCATAAAACATGGGCCCCAAAAGAAGGAGGGGATAGGTGCTGAAATGGGTAAAAAGCAGCAAAGAGGCAAATGAGACCTGGAGAGAGTTAAAGAAATAGGAAACTCAAGACAAGATGCTGGTATTGAGTACCCCTCCCCCACCCAGGATTCACGCATAAGCGAGTGAAGACATATGCCCGGTGCTGTGAGCATGGCAGTGGTGAATGGCATGTGGTCGGGCATGAGATTGTGTGCAGTTGAAAGGATGTTGCCCAAAATAAAAGCCTACCTTTGTTTGCAGCTCTGTCCTTTTAAACTGGAACATCACTGTTCAGCATGCTCCTTGCTCAGTGCAATTGTGATCCCTTTAGCCCGCTGCCAAACAATGTAGCTGGTCACCAAAGCTGCTGAATGCTGCTGAAAACGGGGAAGAAAATCCATTGAACAAGTCCTGAACATTGCAAAAGCGGCTGACTCTCTCAATTACTTTGTCAAGTCCCATTATAATTGTGGCTGTGATCACATGCAAGGTTCTCCCATGGGTAGGGATAGAGCCAGGATCCTCGAAGTACTGACATGCACCCCACCCCACCCCCCATCAGGCCTCTGTGAACAGGTCTGCAGCTGCTGCATCGCTTGCCCTTGGTGGAATTTGACAAGGGACACTTCTACCTTCGCATCTATGTTACCCTTAGCAAGGGTCATTTCCTGCTGGTGGTGACCAATTCAGATGATCTACTTTGAGCTTTCCCAAACAATTTATGCATAACTGATTTGAAAATACTTTGACAAATGCATCGCTGTATGAAAACATAAACCCATCTGTTTTCCAAAGTATTCATTTAGGGAACACCTTTGCTGATAGCTGGAGCCTGGGTTGATTAACAAACAACATCACTGGGCTGAAGAACTCCATCACAAAATGGAAATAAGCTTGCATCCCAGCACAGAATTTTACTGTGACGCTTGCTTTGTCCTTGTCTGCTTGAGTTACCTAATTCGGGAGCTGGACTGTGATAGCTGGAGATGTCCAACTATCCTCAGGTAACTAGTTGCAATACTAGAATGCCCAGATGAACAACATGAATGAAAACTATGTAATTTGAATGTTATTACATCAGATGGTAAGGCTTAAGCAAGTTTGGTACATTTAGCATCATATCTGAAAACGAGTGGGGAAAAATGGATAGAAAGATAGAAATATATGACCAGCAAACAAAAGAAAGGTAGAATGTTCGGGAATGGGCACTGGTGGCTGGTTAGTGCATAGCTCTCCAGGTGTGGTCCTGGGGACAGCAGCATCAACCATACCTGGGAATGATTTAGAAATCCAAATGCTCTAGAGTCAGAAACTCTGGGGTGATGGGGAGTGTTGTGTTCAGCAATCCATAGTTCAGCAAGCCTCCTCGTGGTTCAGGTACATGATTACATTTGAGAACCACTGAGTTAGGGCATGAAGACCAAAGCACAAAGAAGAGAAAAGCAATACAGAGCAAGCCATCTTCCCCAAAGGAAGATCATCAGGGCCCATCCTCAATGTCTCCAGGGAAAGAAACTCTAATCCTGGAGTCTGGAAATTATCAGAGGGGCTAAGATTCAAAACAATGATGATAAAGTGATGAAAAAAAGTCATTAAAGAAGACTGGTTGTTGAGTGGTTTTTCAACTGAATGGTGACAGACCCGATCCCTATCATTGTGACATTTGAGGAATTCCTACAAGTTCCCTACAAATAGTATTTTCATCCCCAGATTTTTAAGTGACTGAAATCAGCCTTAAGCCCAGGCTGCTGAAGTTTTTGTGGTCTGGCAAGTATTTGGTATGACTGCCTTCACCTGAATCTGAGCATTTTCCTTCTGAATCATTCACTGAGTGAGAAGAATTTGAAAGGAATTAGTAAAACACATTCTTTGAGGTTGGAAAAATACAATCTTCCCTAATCATAGAATGGCCAGGTTGGTACAAGCAAATGACACACAGATAAGAAACACATACTACTTTTATCTTCAGGGTATAGTCTTCCTAATTCTTATAGATACCTAGGGAAATTCCAGGCAGAGGTCACTGGTCAAAGGTAATGTAGAAAAGGATTGAAAACTCAGGAAAGGAAAAATGTGCTACAATTAAAGTGTGGAGTTAATGTGGTTTGTCCCACCTACAGCTAAATGCCAGAGATATTTCTCCACTTTCCTCGCCCGCCCAAATGTTACAAGCAACTCAGCTCTGGGATATTAACAAGAAAGAGGTTTGTGGGAATGGAACTTTCTTTTTCTTTTAAACTCCTTCACTTAGCATCTACCAAAAAGTGTGTGTCTAAAAGAGCCATCCATTTGCTAGTTTCATTCCCCCAAGCTGGGCAAGTAAAAGTATATTTTGGCAAAAGTCCCAACTAGCACTCAAAGTTGGGTATACCAGCCACGCTTGGGAAGCAAGCACCCATAATAGCAGGTGGTACAAGATTAATTTTGAAAATACTGGAAATATTCTAACGAAATCTTTTTTCATTCTTTTTTTTTTTCCAGGATGATTGTGAGCCTCATATCCCTACTACAAATTGACATTTCAAAAGATTCTTTAAAGAGGACACCCAAATGTGTTAGCTTCAGAGCCATGAAATCAATTTAATTTCAGTTTATAGAAGTTATTTCACTGAAAAACTAACATTTGCTCACTTGAGTCCAACTCTATGAGTAAAGATCCGGAATTCAATTTCTCTACTGAATTCTTCTTTCTTTTTTACTTTTTTTTTTTTTTTTTTTTGTACAGCCAGGGCGGCAGCCTATAGTCATATCTCTGCCAAAACTTTTGAGGGCAATAGGAAGTACAAAAATAGTAATTTAATATTTTCCACCTGTAGCTATAACTCTCCTTAGTACTTACTGGTTTCATGCTGGCAAGACACATGTAATGCTTTTGACACACCTGAATTTTACAACTTTTCCTACTGTCTTTTACTCACCACTAAGAATAGCCTTCATTGTTTATTTCTTGTTTTAAGACAAGGCAGTTTTAGTCTGGGGTATTTTACCAATCCTACAGATCACCAGCCCAAACCCTAATTTGTTCAGCAGTGGTCTTCAAAAACTGAGATGGAAAGGGACTAGTTCAGACCCCATGGTGGCTACTAATGGGGAAGAACCACTCTTAGAAGCATCAGCCCAGAGGGTTGCTCAAAGGAATTCAAAAGTTTGGCTGAAGCTAAATTTCCTTTGGGATTTAAAAAGCTGACCAGTTATTTGAACTGATACATGCCTGCTTTACTGTGATCTGTTCCTTATACTCCCTGGGCAAGGAGCTTTGCATGAGACTAAGGAAGCCAAATACCTCAAAGGACTCAGGTACCCAATGAATCAAAACTAACTCTTTCTCTCTCTCTCTCTCTCTCTCTCTCTCACACACACACACACACGCGCGCGCGCGCGCGCCCACAGACACACACACAAGTCTAGGAACCCAAATGCCTGTAGTGGGGTGTTTCTCAAGCTCAGAAGCACAGTGCTTCCCTGTTTTGTCCCTCTTCTTTCCATGATGAACTAAATGGGGGTTGACACTAATCAGAGCCATGTGGATTGCTGTGCTTCAGGTTTCATCAATTGTATAAAACTTAAACTTACTTCCTATTACTCATATCCCCTTAAATTTTCACTTCTACCACGTACATATAGGTCACACCTCCTTAAAATAGAAACTTTTGAAAGACAGACATTTCCAAACCCCTAAGCCACAATCATATCTTTTTTCTCAGACAATATGCAATACTATAATTTTCCCTTTAACAAAATTTTCTGGACAGTCCTTGGGAGTTCATGTGAAAGGAATTGATAACTATAAGTAAATATAAATAATTTGAGAAAAAAAAACAAATCTTGCCATTGACATAGCACTGCATTCTTAATGTCATTCCATAAAATGTGATTCTGATTTAGAGATTTGCTTAGAGACACAGTATACAATGTATACCTCATTTGCCCTCTATACCATCTCCTGGTTCCACCCCTAGTTAACATATGTTATTCAGTCTCCTTGGTATAAAATGAGACAGCTGGCCTATATAGTCATTAACTTCCTTTCTAAGCCCTCAAAGTCTCTGACTTAGAAAGAGGCCCAAAGAGGCTCAAAAATTCATAGATTTTTCAGTATATTTCATGGACTTTCCCTACCAAGTCCAAACTACCCCCCACTTAATTAAAGTCAAGTCAACCCATTCATTTACTCACTTAACACATATATATTGAACATCAACTATGTTCCAGGCATTCAGCTAGATGCTGTCCTTAAGAACCTCAGAGTCTAGAATTTTATATATTTCATATTTGGTAGATATTTATTTTTAAGAGGACTATATATACTCTTACATAGCACTCATCCATTTTATGTGTGTGTCAGTGTAGAAATGCCCAACTTGGTCTAGCACCCTTGAGACTATAGACCTCTTCAAATTCAGGAGAATGTTTTATCAATTTTGGCCCTATAGACAAAGAAGTTAAGAGACAATCTATACATTAAGTATAAAAACAAAACAATAACAAATAGTTTATACGAATTAACAAACTACTATAGATATCCTTCTTAAAATTTCCAGGTAAAGTAGAAATCAGTAATTCAAATCCCTGATTCAAATGAGATTTGAGGACTATATTTGCTAGTAAGTTCTATCTAATTCTTAACCATTACCAATTATTCCTTGAGCCTATATATAAGTCCAGTATAAGGTTATATCAGTTAGGCAGATAAATTCAAATTTCATTCTGATAACATTTTTATCAAATTCTAGTAATCTCCAAAGTCCATTAGTTAGATTTAGAATTTAATCCAAGGGCTGTGAAACCCTGCAAAGTGAGCCTATGAGATAACTTAGCGTTTCTAAGTATGCCAGCATATTCTCTTTTCATTGTTCTTCATCCAATATCTTAGGAAACATAGAGCTATTCACAGGCATAGGAATTTTAACTACACTGGGTTGGAAAAATACTAGATAAATCACCATGCCTCTGAATATCTCCCTAACTGACAAAAAATTATCTGAATTTCTCCATTAAAGGTGCGTTCTTTGGGTTCAGACACTACGTCAGTGGTCTGTTTACATTAATGATGCCCATTTGTTAGTGCCTAGTCTATTCCAGATACTGTGATAAGTGCTTTACATACTTATTTCCCAAAACATCCTGTAAAATAAGTATTATCTCTTTTTTTTCCCCCAGAAGTAAGTGAAGTTAGGGTGGTCATCTAACTGGTAAGTTGTGGAGGCAATGTTTAGTCTCCGCACTCTTCTACTGTGCCATCTGGGGACACTGTGTTAAGCCATCATCACTTTTGGTGGTCCATCATAAAGAATTTTATTGTATTATTCTTCCAGATGGCTGAAAATAATGAAATATTTTCAATAGTAGAGAAGAAAAACAAATGACACATCTA